TGTGTCTGTGAGTGTGTGTCAGTGTGTGTATGGGCGGTGTGGGGTGACATCTAGTCCCAGATTCTGTGTGTTGCTTCCTACCCTGAGGAGGCTGATTACTACAATTTCAGTCCAGGGGGATAGTTTTTTACTCCCAATTCATCTTGACTCACTAATTTGGAAGTCACTGGTGTTTACGCCGATTCTGCTCATCGCTGAGGGCAACCACTCACCCTGAGGTTTGAGGCCAGGCGGTTTCTTGGAAGGCATTGGCACCTCCTCGGAGATTCTGAGACCCCCAGTAGGCTCGGCCTGAGGCCCTTGGAGGTGTGAGTTAGGATCCAGGGAGAGACTCCTGACCAGAGGCTGGGACTGCGGTGATCCTGAGGGAGAGGAGAGAACAGGAGGTTAGCTCAAGGAGGATCAGTGTTGAAGGAGTGGGCGCTGTCGGAGTGTCAGCACTGAGGGAGGGGGTGCTGTCGGAGGGTCAGCGCTGAGGGAACGGGTGCTGTCGGAGGGTCAGCGCTGAGGGAGCGGGCACTGTCGGAGGGTCAGCGCTGAGGGAGCGGGCACCGTCGGAGGGTCAGCGCTGAGGGAGCGGGCACCGTCGGAGTGTCAGCGCTGAGGGAGCGGGCGCCGTCAGAGGGTCAGCGCTGAGGGAGCGGGTGCTGTCAGGGGGATCAGCGCTGAGGGAGCAGGCGCTGTCGGAGGGTCAGCGCTGAGGGAGCAGGCGCTGTCGGAGGGTCAGCACTGAGGGAGGGCTGCACTGGCAGAGTGTTAGGGCTGTTGGATTGGCATACTGTTGGAACAAGACCCCCATTCTCCCCCCCACCATCCCCACAGGAGCAGACATTCCTCCTGAGCTCCCTGATGGGGGGTGGGCGAGGGTGCGGTTTTTTTTTGGGACTGTCTGATATCGATGCCCTCTCCCTAGTTCTGGTCTCCCTCTGCCCCCCAGATGGAAACATCCCTCCGTTGACCCTCTCGAAACGTTCTCTGTTGTTTGAAATCCCTCGATCAGAGCCCCCCTCTGCCTCTACATTGCAAGAATAAAGAGCCCCCAAAACACCCCGCCCTCAGGCCCCGTCATTGTAACCTCTCATTCCTGGGATCTTCCTTGCCAATCTTTCCTGCACCTTCTCCAGTGCCGCCAAATCCTTAATATGGAGACCGGGAACTGGGAGATGGGAATTGTGCACGGCTTTCCCAGTGGGATAGGGAGACGGGAACTGCGCACAGTAATCCCAGTGGGATAGGGAAATGGGAATTGTGCCACTGTATTCCCAGTGGGATAGGGAGAGGAGAACCGTGCGTGGCATTCCATGTGGGAGATGGAGATTGGAAAAGACTGTGTCTAATGTCCAACAGAGTCTGTTGCCCCATCAAACACAAGTGGCAGCCATGGCGGCACATCTATCCCAGCATCCAAAGGGGTGGCGAAAGCCCCCTGTTGGAGCCATGGGCCAGTGCCTCTGATAGAGGGCTTGCGTAGCCTCCAGGAATGCTGGGATAGCCTTACCTCCATTGATCATGCTCTCCATCTCCTGAGACAATCCACTGGGAACCACGCCGCGCTGAGCAATCACCAAACGAGCGCAGAATAGTTATAAATCGCTGACACCACACCCCTCCACACACCCTTGACACCCCTGCAAGGCCTGTACCCCTCAACTCTGCCCCCTGCCTGCGAGGCTGATAATGGCACTTCTTGACAAGACGGGTCAAAACCACAGGAATGTTGGAGAAAAGCTGGCAGGGAGGGGGGTTGGTTAGCGAGAGGACAGGAAAGAGTTTGGTCTGTCACAAAGCTTTCCTTTCTCCGGTCAGATACCAGAACGACCATGAAACACACTGATGAAATCAGCATGACCTCAGGACAGAGGGAGTAGTGTTTACAGGTCATCCTGCCCAGAGAGAGAGTGCAATTATTGTCAGCATAACACAGAGAGGAAGAGTGGGTCGGGGAGAGAGGGGAGAGAGAGGCACAGAGAAGTGAGAGGAGGAGAGAGAGAGACACACACACACACACACACACAAACACATCACACACATCACACACATACACACACAGACGGAGGGGCAGAGAGAGGGAGGGAGTGAGGGACAGAGAGAAACACAGAGAGAAACACAGAGAGAGAGAGAGGGAGGGAGAGATTCAGAGACAGAAGAAAAGTGACACAGAGAAAGAGAGAGTGAGGGTGGGAGAGAGAGAGGTACAGAGAGGGAAGGAGTGTCAAACAGAGAGGGAGAGACAGAAAGAGGAGGACAGTGAGGGAGCAGCAGAGAGAGACAAATAGAGAAACAGACAGAGAGAGATGTGGGAGACAGAGAGATGGAAAAGGATAGACAGCGAGAGATGCACTTAAAACACACACATTTTGGACATTGGTGAGAATATGAGGACCTTTCAGCCCCCATGCTGATCCTGTCGCCGTCAGCGCTGACCCTCCAAAATCGTCCGCTCCCTCAGTGCTGACCCTCTGGCAATGCCCGCTCCCTCAGCGCCAACCCACCGACAGTGCAGCATAGGTGCTATTGGAGGGTCAGTGCTGAGGGAGTGGGCGCTATTGGAGGGTCAGCGCTGAGGGATACATGGGAGGGCTTGGGGACTGTCCAGTGTCAGGTAGGAACGCTAGAGAGAACTGTTCTATTTTCTGATCTGTAATACTGACAGTTTCTGCTATTGGAAAGAGACACGGGGCAAAGAGAGAGGGGAGGGCAAAGGGGGGGCTAGGGGAGGGCAAAGGGGGGGCAAGGGGGAGCAAAGAGAGAGCGAGGGCAAAGAGAGAGGGGCGGTCAAAGAGAGAGCAGGGCAAAGAGAGAGAGGGGGGAAAGAGAGGGTTGGAGTGGGGGCGAGAGAGAGGGGGGGGGGAAGAGAGAGAGTGGGGGCAAGAGAGAGAGGGGAAGAGCGAGACAGGGATGAAGAGAGAGAGAGAGGGGTGGAAGGACAGAAGGGGGAAACAGAGAGAGTGGTAGACAGAGAGAGGAGAGAGAGCACACAGAAATGATTTACAAGCACGCTTCCAGGGATGAGAAAAGTCAGCGATAAGGAGAGGTTGAGCAGTTTATGGTTATTCTTCTGGGAGAAGAACTGGGAGGGAGATCTGCTAGAGGTTTTCAAAATCACGAGCGCGGGTTGGACAGAGTCGATAAGGAAAAGGAACGTGAACAAGAGGGATGTGGTGTAGATTGAAAGTGACGCGGTAAAGGAGTGAGGGCGACAGGAGGAAATATTTTATCACCCAGCAAATAGTTAGGGTCCAGAACACACTGTCTGGGGTACGGTGGGACACCATACACACACACACTCTCTCTCTCGCTCGCTCGTGCATGCTCTGTCTCTGTCGCACGCACACACTGTCTGTCTGTCTCTCTCTCTCACACACACACCGTACGCTCTCACACACATGTGTCCTCTCGCTCTCACACATACGCTCAGAGACGGACACAGTGACAGTGACCCTGGGGTCAGTGAATAACTGGATCCCTGAGGCAGTCAGAGCACCAGTCTCCCTCTCTCTCTCTCTCTCTCTGTCACACACCGCCGATACTGTCCAATCACGAACGCACAGTCTGCAAACAAATACAGCTGGGAAAACAGAGCAGGGAATCGCTAAAACACTATCCCTGGGACAGAGCTACAGCCCCAGCTCCAGTCCCAGTCTCTCTCTCTCTCACTCGTTCTCATGCATCCCTCTCCATAAAATGGTGTCCTGATTGTCATACCTCTCCCATACTGTCCACTGTTATTATACACCCCCTCACTATCTCTGTCACCCTGTCCAGCCCCCTCCCTATCTCTGTCACCCCCTCCAGCCCCCTACGCCCCCTCCCTATCTCTGTCACC